ATTGCCCCAGCTGTAAAATATGATATGGGCACCCGATCACTACGACGAAATACCTTCAGGAATAATGAATATTACCTCTCCGTCAATGTCGTCTTTGACAACCAACATATTGCTACTATTGTAAACTTTGAGAGACGCAAATTAATAAGTATTTTATTGTGCCCGGGGAAATAAATCAAATCGGAGTGACCATGACCTAATGCATATTTTCGTGCTGCTTTAGCTGATCTAAATCTTTGGTTATTATCCTTCAAAAATTGGGCATATATCAACTCCTCCTCAAACCACTTTACCTTTATCATCTCCACATGGATACCTCTTCCTGGAGAGATGCCACATCCAGCTACTTATAGGTAGTCAGAGCATACCTTATCGGACCTTATTTGGACGGACATTACTTGAACGCTGGAGGCTCTAGCGTTCATCTTAATGTCCGTTCAAATAAAGTCCGTTCAATTAATGTCCGTCCAAGTTAAAGTCCGTTGAAATTTTTCAAAAATTTTTCCATTTCGAACTTTTTGTCCAGAATATGACAACTTTGAGAACTTTATTGTGCCGTAAGTTAACGACGGAAAGGTTCTCCTTGGTCTGCCGGAGGCACAGAAAACTCTACTACTACTAGTATATGATGTTTTCAAGGGTCACTTGGCGGAAAAAAGTCAACAAAATTATGGCACTCAACAATAACATAGTTCATGAGCTAGTCCCCGCCAACATGACAAACTTGTTCCAGCCTCTAGATATTAGACATTGTCCGACGTTGTTATAGTTCATATTACTGAGGGGAGGTAATGAAACAGTGCTAGGAAAGCTCTACGTGATGTTAAGGTTAACCTAAAGTTGTCTAAGATGAAACCACTTCACGCCGAATGGCTTGTAAAACTAAAAGTTAACAATGAAATGCAGGACCGGGGTAGTTTGATAAAAAAAGGTTTCCACAAAGCTAGAAATCACTGATGCTTGTTTAAGCATGGACTATTTCATGCACGAAAACCCATTTAATGAAGATGATATGTGATATTAGACACTGATCATGTACACATATTTTAACATTTTTACTGCTTAATGACTGCTTTTCTTACTTACTGTATGAAAAATGGATTAAAAAATCATTTGCTGAAATTTAAAAAAAGTCAAAAAATTGAAAAAATTCGGATTTTTTATGGTTTTGAATGCCTTCGAGCGTTCATATTAATGTCCGTTCACAATTATGTCCGTTCATGTAATGTCCGTCCAAATAAGGTCCGATAAGGTATTTACGCTATCCTCTTGTCAGCCATCTAGTCCCAGCCTCTTTAAAAAAATGTATTTTACAACTCTTATAGCGTCTGCGTTTACAAATTAAGGTAATAGGAAATGGAAACAATATTTTTAATTTTGTACACGCCAATTCTATTTAAAAACATTTTTATAGTGCATTTTGAACGAGTTTAACAAAGTTTAATTAAGATATTTTGATGTCTGATCCAATTCCAACGGTTTAAGACGTCTGTATTTTTCATTTCCCAGAAAAACGCTATGGGATTGTTCAGTATTCCATTTAAATTATAAAAATTGGACTGAATCAGTTGACATTCGAGAAATGCTTTTAAAGTAACAAAGTTTAATTAAGATATTTTGATGTCTGATCCAATTCCAACGGTTTAAGACGTCTGTATTTTTCATTTCCCAGAAAAACGCTATGGGATTGTTTAGTATTCCATTTAAATTATAAAAATTGGACTGAATCAGTTGACATTCGAGAAATGCTTTTAAAGTAAAAGCATTCCTTTAAACCAATTTTGAATGTTGGGTGTAACTTCTATCAAACTTCAATCTCATTAAACTATATAAAAAAATAAGTATAAAGAATAAGGAAAAGGAACGGGAATGAAGCCAATACCAGAAGTGAAACCCCACCAAAGAATAATTGATCCTTAGGTAGACCTGGTGAAATAAAGTAACTGAACTGTAAGTTTAAGAAAAGACGGAAGGAATAAAGGAGAGAGGAAATAATGTTATGTGAACATCATCAGCAGATGACTTGGCACACCGGTTTCGGGGGTTTAATACCTGTACCGGTTTAATGTGCCAAGACCCCCTAGCAATCACTCGTCAGTGATCACCTGTTCACGTTAAATGTGATGTCAAGGATGTCGCTGACATCAAGTATACTGTATTTGTACAGAATACTAGGTCGGTCTTTCAGAAGCTTTCTGAATTTACTCTTCAGGAGTCTGTCATTATAACATCTTGAAAGAAGTGTCCTATAAAGGGTGTTGGTAGAACACAGAAAAGAATCAAGGTCAGAGATAATGGAAGAGTAACGAAGGACCTGACCGTAAAAAACATTATAACCAACAGAAGAGGAAATATTACTGTTAGGAAAGGTGTACATGACCACAGGAAAGTTGAAGTCATCAAGTTTGTTGTAAAGCTTGGTGGCGACGTGTCCGGAGTTATTCATCGAGATGTTGATGTCGAGATAGTTTACGGACTTATTGTCGTCACCACTCCTCTCCATAAGCAGGTCAGGTGGATAAATGGACCTGATTAGGTTAGAGAAATGCAAATAGTTCATGGTGTTGAGGTCGTCGACATATCTGCAGTTTCTTGAGAGGAGCTTAGCGAGACCGAACTTCTTTTCTTTGATTAGGCGTGTCATGTAGTTGAATTCACACTTCCCTAGCGAAAGATCAGCGAACTGGCTACTAGAATTCCCTCCCATGGGAATGCCTTTCGTTTGTCTTAAAATCTGATCCCCAAAACAAACAAAAGTGTTAAACAGAATAAATGTAATAGCTGTTTTGAGTTTATCAGCAGAAAAACATAAGTATCCGTTATATTCCTTTTTAGAGAAAAAATTGTTGTTCTTATACAGAGAAACACAAATAAATTTATTCGTATTACTAAAGAGGAGATCTATTAGCTCGAAAAGCAGTGACTGTACAACCTGAAGGTCTAGATTGGTATACAGAGTGGTAAAGTCGTATACCTGCATATTAAAAATCTCTAGTCTAGGCAGCCTTTCCAGGAACTGTTTAGAGCTGTTAATGCTCCAGTCGCAGTTAATTCCAGTATTGTTGTAGATAGAGTTGCAGTATTTGGAAAAGTATTCTTTTAAAACTTTTAAAGCTTTGTTGACTACAACTGATATCTGCTTAGTGGTACATTTACTGGCCCCAGCTATAAATCTAGACTTATAAGGATTCTTGTGAAGTTTAGGAATCCAAAAGATTCTCGGTAGACAAAGGTTGTCCTCGGAAACACGAATATTAAAGTTATCTTTAATGAAGTTCACATGTTCCTGAATAATATCATCCTCTACAGAGTTAACCGGATGATAAGTAGAATTGCCACGACACTCTAGAGAAGTGAGATCGTAGCCAAGTTCGTTGAGAAGGGTTAAAAGATAAAACTTCTTTCAGACAAAAACATAATTATTTGAAGCTTTATCTACGGAGCAAATAATAAAAGAAGAAGAAAGACTGTCGAGATAAGATTTAACATCATCCCTTTGTAGAATGGAATTGTAGGGAGTGAAGTTATTAGGGGAGGAGGAGAGGAAGTTAAGGCGATTGGTGAAGATCCGGGAGACCTCATCTTTCCAATCCTGGAATTCCAAACATGAAAGTCCATGCTTCCTAGCCATACGGGTGGCGAAGTTGGCTGAACACTCGTTGAGGCTCTCCAAGATTTGCTCAGGAGGAACAGACACAGGTTCCCTAAATTTGGTACCGTAACTCATGATGCCTCTTAAATCCTCGTGCTCAATGAAAGCAAGGTCACCGGTGATGATGTGGCCTCGAGGCTGATAGCAATAAGGGTTACTGGAACAGGGGCAATCACCTTCCAGGATGGAGGAAATAGTAGTATTATCAAGTGATTTAAGGAATCTATTATAATTAAAAAGCTTACGCCCGACAGGAATATCGTACTTATAGTAAACTTTTAAGGGAAGGAAAGGCGTAAGGTTTGGAGGGAGAAGAGTCAAGATCCTAGAGTCACGAATGACTGATTCTATTCGGAGTTTATCAAATATTTTAGAACAATAGTGAAAAGTGATAAACTCGCTATTAACAGAGGTGATATTAGGAGAAGAAGTGCTGTCTTGGCCAGCAAAAGATTGTATAACAAGGAAAATGGCTCCAGATTTGCAGAGGGAATGAGAGCTAAGTTGCTTGAGCTCGCCTTTTTGAAGGCTACTTATATCTTTATAAAAGCTGTATTTGCTTTCAGACATTTTTCTTTTTAAACTTTCATATTTATTGTCAATCTCTCTTAAAGTGAGAGTCCTTTTGTATATTCTATCTTCATGGCTTTTGTTTTTCTTTTTTCTGCCATGTCCTCTTTTATATCTTTTTATTTTATTTTTAAAATAAATATCGTTAAAGTTGCTTTTAGAAATATTACCAGAACCTTTTACGTTGTCATTGAGACCTAGAGGGTGAGCAGTGCTCAGGAGATTAATCCAAAGAAGTTCCCTGTCAGCTAAGGCCAGACGAGGGTCTTCAGTAGAGGAAGGGTCAATAAAATCAATAATTTGAATGGAGGCGTCATGAAAATTATGACCGGGAGTATTAAAGTGGTCATGGACAAAGGAGGATTTGCCGGCTTTAACCGAAGCACGGTGTCCATTCATGCGTTCATTAAGGCGCTGTTCTGTGAGCCCAACATATTGAATACCACAAGAACAAGTGAGGAGATAGATAATAGAAGAAGATTTACAAGAAAAGGATTCAGAGTGAGTTAACATGAAAGAATTATTAGTAACGTAACTGGTGAAAATATTACTTGACCTGAATGGTTTACAGGTGAGACATCTTGACTTATTACACGGTGTTATATCAGGGGGTTATATTAAAAACCTTTTAATCATTTTTATTTAGCTGCGTTGAAACTTTGTGATTGTTGTGATTTTTGTAAATATTATAGTTATACACAAGCGTTTATTTTTCATAAGCCGATAAAATGTACGATTGCAATATTATGTTTAACTTAAAATATTTACCAATAGTGCATTAAAATGGCTGTATTTGGCAAGAACGGGGCTGGCGTGACTATAGATCGAGGATTTGGACTCTCTCTTCTCTTCATGCTCCTTGTTTCGTCTCTTCTCAATGGATTCGTGTTTTACTACCACTTTAAAAAACCAAGAAAACTCATTTCTAAAATGTTCTGTCTCCTCGCTTTTTCAGGTTAGTTAGTTAAAGTAGATTGAATGTTATTATAGTTGTTCATCATGATGAATCATGTCATGAATAATGCCGAGTAAAATCATTAAAAAACCACTTTGAAAAGCGTAATTGGGTTCCAAAATAATAACCAACATCTCCCCTCCAGATTTCATGAGTATAGCACTGTCGTCAGTAGCAGCGGTCTCTTTCCTCCGGGGAGAACTAGTAACAGACACAGACCACGTGACCATCCCTCAGTACCTTATATCCCGGGCTCAATTCTTCTTCTTCAGGTCAGTAGTCAGTACCTTATATCCCGGGCTCAGTTCTTCTTCTTCAGGTCAGTACCTTATATCCCGGGCTCAGTTCTTCTTCTTCAGGTCAGTACCTTATATCCCGGGCTCAATTCTTCTTCTTCAGGTCAGTACCTTATATCCCGGGCTCAATTCTTCTTCTTCAGGTCAGTACCTTATATCCCGGGCTCAATTCTTCTTCTTCAGGTCAGTACCTTATATCCCGGGCTCAATTCTTCTTCTTCAGGTCAGTACCTTATATCCCGGGCTCAATTCTTCTTCTTCAGGTCAGTACCTTATATCCCGGGCTCAGTTCTTCTTCTTCAGGTCAGTACCTTATATCCCGTGCTCAGTTCTTCTTCTTCAGGTCAGTACCTTATATCCCGGGCTCAGTTCTTCTTCTTCAGGTCAGTACCTTATATCCCGGGCTCAATTCTTCTTCTTCAGGTCAGTACCTTATATCCCGGGCTCAGTTCTTCTTCAGGTCAGTACCTTATATCCCGGGCTCAGTTCTTCTTCTTCGAATAAAATTTTCATTCTCATCTTACCATAATATATACTTGGATTGTTTTAATTTCCTGCCTTCCATTATAAATTCTGGAAGTTGCAGTAATATTGAATTCTGAAAGTTCAATATTACTGTAATATAACTACCATATTACTATTCAATCCTAACCGTAGAAAGGATTAACCAGATCTGTTTATGGCTTAATTTAATGGGTTAAATTGCGATAATTAGCTGCCAACTCTTGTCTACGTCTTTAAAAGCATCAAAATCGGATTGCGGATATGCCATATAACTTCTGAAATAAATAAACATTTGTCAGAATGCAGAATTTGACTACTTCCATAAAGTTAACTGTGAGCTGTAAGTGACATGAGTGGTTCAAATGACAAATATAACATGCTGTCAGTAAGGAACTGCAGTAAATACCAGACCGGGCGGTCTGCAGACCACCCGGTCTGGTATTTACTTCCTCGAGAAACGGAATGATTTCAAATTTGTGTCTGTTCAATGCAGCAGTTTTATAAATCTGAATTTGAGAATTTCGCAACTGTTTTTAATCATAATGCTTTAATGGAGGTTAAACTTGATAGTGCATTAAACTCGACAGCTGTTAAAAAAGAACACTCTATTTAATCGCTCGCTGTCAAAAAATTCAGGTGACGGTTACGTCATGCTCAGATGCTGCTCCTGGTTAAATTTGGAAACTCTCTGGACATCTTAAAGGAAATTTACAAATAAATGAATAAATTTTTAAAATATGAAAAATGACTCACGCACAACTTTACCCAGGTTTTCGTTGTTACTGACAAGTTTTATCAGCCTACAGCGCCTAGTGATGATAATGCGACCTCGTTATACCCTTCACGGTACTTACTTCGTATGGGTGTTCACTTTCTGGATCGTACACATTCTCATCAGGTATACTACAACTATACTATAACTATAGTATAGTATACTACAACTACAATACCTAAGTTATTTAATTCTTTTGTTGATCGGGATCCCCTGTGGTTTGATTAATGGGGCGATGAAGCAATTACCATCAGCTAGTGATGGTAATGCAGTCCACTCCAAGGGCGGCGGCCCACTAATTGTTTTAAAACCAATTTGTTATTTCAGCTCGATATATTTCTACGCTCTGGGTCAGTGCAAGTGGGAGGTGCTCATACAATCAGTCTACTGTAAGGTTAGTCCTCCTTCCCTGCAGATCACAGTGGTATTAACCCCACAATAATCCTACACTCTCAGATCCTGCACTGATTTGATTAAATGAATTGATGAATCTTGTCCTTAACTTGGGCTTGATTGGTTGGTACAGGGCTCGTGTTTATAATCGATTGAGTTGACCAGTAGGCGTGAAATTGAGGACGAATATGCATGAAGCTAACTGTGATGTGAGCACGTATTATTATAGATATTATATTTATATTACGTAACGTGATGACAGTAATGAATCGTGGGTAATATTAGCGATACTGCTATCAACTTTACTATTCGTATCGATCGAGATTAATCAGGAAAATGAGTGGGGTTGGAATATATTTATAAACTCAAGTGATTAATAATAATGCTCGGCCCTCGAGCAAACCCTGCTTAAAGTCTGACCATCAAAACTGGAAAGCTTAGTTAAAGAATTAAACAGGATATGTTGAGTGTCAAGTATGGACGTGAATATAGTCTGCCATAAAAAACTCATAATATCCGAGTCTACCATGTAAATGGCAGACTGTGTTATTACACAGTTTGCGTAAAAGTGCTGACTGAATTAGAGTCAAAGAGATCTAATAATATTTCGTGATTAAAAAAGCACAAGAATCTTTGATTAATATACAGTTCCATTTCCTAAATCTCTCTCTCTCAGGTTGGATTCCTGCAATACCTGAACAGCATGGTACTTACAGTTGTACCATGGTACCTTGTCTGCTTCCTAGCCTGGTTCACAACTCTCCTCCTGCTCGTCCAGCGCAAGAAAACCCGGCCCTACAACACCCGCCGTAACGACGACATCAACAAAGTCGTCGTCACAATCTTCTTCCTGTGCGTCATCGCCATGCTCTCCTTCCTGCCCTCCCTGGTAGCATTCTTCTTCCACGAGGAGTACCGTGTTGTACCTGACGACAAGTACCCTCTGTGGGTATGGTACTTCTGTATCGTGTACTCCCCCGCTCTCTCCTCCTTCTTTAACCCTATCATCCTGGTGATACGAGGCCGGGGGATGCGGACCACGCTGAAGGTGGTCATGTTTCAGTTGGCTCGATGCCAGGGAGTGAAGTTACAGCATGATGGGGACATGTCACGTGTAATGTCACTTAACATGACCAGGTTTAATAGACAGGCGTGTTCAGTGCATGTGGGCAAGAGAAGGAGTGATATTACTAAAAGTACGGGCGTGGTCCCGGTAAACACTGACTTTAGTCGGAATGTGCAGGAGGTTCCTAGTAGGGCTACTATAAGTAAATCTTCAGATAACGTTTTACCTAAATGTTCTTCAAAATGATGTTTTTAGAAGAAATGCAGGGTATTATTTGTATTAAAATTTATTACGTTTACAGATTGTGAATGCATCGTTTGTATTGCAGGATGATAATGTGTAATGTTTTCATTGTAACAATTCGGCTTATTATTTGAAATAAGATCTACGTTGATTCATATTATTGAATCTTTTTAGTAACAATTTCTATTGCAAATAGATTATATTTTTTAAATGTTTTTATTTTTCCACGACCTTGAAAAGTCAGTACGAAGAGGCCATCGTTGAAATTTGTTGTTAATTTTATTTAAAAATTTGTTCGTTTAAAACGAGACATAATCAATAATTGGTTAAGCGCTCGCGCTTTATTCATTATTGCTGATTATTTGTGCTATCTAAGCTACTCATGTGCATCACGGCCTCGCGGGTTTTTTAATTTAACAAGAAAAACGAGTTTTATTGCATCAAGCGAACGTAAAAAGTATTGAACAAGTCCAATTAAATTTAAACATTAATAACATACAAAATATAACCGTCAAAAATTCGACTCATTGGCAAACATCAAATATTCGTAATCAATTTGGTGCTCTTTCTTACTTTGTACAACAGTCCTAAAGACGATTTACACCCAGTTATCGAGTCCTAATACGAATTTTTGACGGATATAAACTCAAACCAATTGTTCAAATTCTGAGATAGACAAAACTGATGGCACTTAATTATCGCCAACATAGCAACTGTAATGATACTATACTAACAAACCCGTCTCTTATAGTCTTATATCCATATTATCATATGTGGATTACAACAGTTGTGAAACTGAAAATTAGAGGATGCAAATGAACAATTTTATTTGAGTAGCGATAAAAGTTAAAACTGGTACATGATAACTAAATTAAAATATTTATATTTTGAAGTTTGTACAGCATTATCAGTAAGCTTTAAAAAAATTGAAAACAAAAGAACTGTAGTCAACCCCTCTCTAAACCGATATGTAGCAACAATAAATTATTAAAACAACAGCTCACTAATTTGTGTGATCATCGGAATTCTAACAATTATACCATAAACATTTTAATTGAACTCTAAGAGAATTTTCCCTTAACTACAGTATAATGTATATCTTACCTGTTTGCTTTGTATTAAGTTATAATCAGCTACAACGATGAGAGGTTTAGAATCATAACGAAGACACCTCTTCTATACTAGCTCTCTAGCAGCATTTAAAATAGCTGCAGAAATACGCAGGCGAGCATGATTAAGATCAAACAGGGTGGAAATTACCAATTACCAATTATTTATCTCATACAGAAACTGATATTTGTGACCCTAGGCCTAAGTAATTTTGATTTAGAACGACCTTGCAAAGCTAAAGGTCCCTGTGTTATCAGAAATTCTTTACATCGAAGTGACTACTCTCTGCTACTATAGTTAATGGTTTTACGTAATGAGGAATTGTGTAACATAATGAGAAAATGGTTTTAAACAATGAGAGAGTGGTTTTACATAACTCCCCTGGCCCTGGACTATCATGTATTCAAGAGACAAAGCATGGTAGGTTGCACTGCCCTAGGAACTGACCGGATATCCGCCTGAATCCGGTTCCGAACGGATATCCGGCTTTAATGTCAAGTTCCGGTTTTTGTCCGGTTTCCAAGAATTTGGCCGGATATTCAACCGGAAATTTCTTTTTTAAATGTTCCTGAAATGTATATTTGTGTCTAAATTCTTGCTAAGGGGCATCCAGTCAGTGCTCTCAGTGACCAGTGAATTCCACGCTTCCACGGTCGCTTGTTATGATAACAAGCGACTGTGGAGGCGTGGAATTCACTGGTCAATAAAAATCATTTTATTTTCGTTTCTCTGGGCCAGTTGTCTGCTAGCTTTCAGAAGGTGGTACCAGATGCTGTCATAATTGAGCGCTCAGCTCTTCTAATTGGATCCAATTCAGGCCTATATTTATCCAATTTTAAATGAATGATATCTCATTCTACAGAATGATAAGAGCGTAGCCGTAAGGGGTCGTTCACATATTACGTAATCAATATTTTGGCAATTTTTACCCCCCCCCCTCCGTAATCAACCGTAATCAAGACCGAACCCCCCCCCCCTATATTACGTAATCAAGGTTTGACCCCCCCCCCCCCCCGTAATCAAGATTTAATTTTATTACTATATATTATTTTACCAAAACCCATAATCATGGGTAGAGTGGAGCGCTGCCAGTGTCTCTCTTTCCCAAACAAAAGGCAATGATATCAATTTGAATGACCGTTATCAAATGCAAAATGATACCGAGAATGAAATCGGTCGCTCGCTTTTCCCACTCATTCATGGCTTACGAATTGTAATAAGTTTCGATTTATAACATGTAATCTATTTCAATTGTAAATGAATGGGAAAAGCGAGCGACCGATTTCATTCTCGGTATCATTTTGCATTTGATAACGGTCATTCAAATTGATATCATTGCCTTTTGTTTGGGAAAGAGAGACACTGGCAGCGCTCCACTCTACCCATGATTATGGGTTTTGGTAAAATATCATCTCTTTTTTATTATAATGTCAGGGTACTTTACAAAGCCGAAATGTAAACTCATAACTTCATTAATATTAATAAGGAGGTTATTTCAACGATTTCGAAATTTTTCCTTTGAAAACATTTCCTTGTGTTTAGGTAAGCATATCGGTCGATCACTGACTGAATATGCCACTTTATACTCATTCAAGTTGGCATTAAATTCATATATAATGACATTGAACTGTCGTGGCAAAGCAGAATTTGTTCAAAATCACGAATGAGCAAAATTTTAACCTTTCGCACGTGCAAACCTTGAGCGGAAGTTGCGTGCGCATCCAATATTGAATCACCGTAAATTTTTGCATGATGGTGTTTTATATATAGTTTGATAAGCATGCAAAGTTTCAAAGTATTTTAAGAAGAACTGTAATCACAACGGCACTCCAAAGTTGACGGAAATTGGTGAAAACAGCAATTTTCAGTGATTTTAGCAATTTTCTATCAATTTGGGCGTGTCCCCACGTGTGCAACTTTTCGATTTTCAACTTTAAAACTAGCCTATGACACAATTTAGAGCTTTAGGAAGCAAAATTGAGCTCCACAACCCAAGGGATGGTGCAACACCAGAGAATACTAGAACGTAAAATTAGCGTTTTTATAAAATTATTCTTTAAAAAAGCACTAACTTCAATAGCGAATATCTTTATGAAGGAGCAAGCTAGAAAAACTTTCCGGTAGATTTTCAGAATGCTTAAACAATTATCTAACTTCAATACGCCCTCAAATTTTGAATAAAATTACTCCTTAATGGCGTAAAATCGATTTGAAAAATGATTACTTTGTGAAAAATCAAGTTTTAAAAATGGTTAACTTGATGACGTCATCAAGTGGTGATGATGACGTTGAATTACTTTTTAACATAATGTAAACTAAAGTCTAAACAATTATCTTCAAGACCTGTGGTCCGAAATGGCTGTATCTTTATACTTTAGAATCTACGGACACTTAAATACAGGCTATAATTCACTGGCAAAGCGTCTATCCCTGAATATATATATGTATATATGTATATATATATGTATGTATATATTTGACCAAAACCCATAATCATGGGTAGAGTGTACCGCTGCCAGTGTCTCTCTTTTCCAAACAAAAGGAAATGATATTAATTTGAGGAACCGTCCGCTAATGCAAAATGATACCGAGAATGAAATCGGTCGCTCGCTTTTCCCATTCATTCACGGCTTACGAATTGTAATAAAGCTTATTAAATGGGAAAAGCGAGCGACCGATTTCATTCTCGGTATCATTTTGCATTAGCGGACGGTTCCTCAAATTAATATCATTTCCTTTTGTTTGGAAAAGAGAGACACTGGCAGCGGTACACTCTACCCATGATTATGGGTTTTGGTCAAATATCATCTCTTTTTGATTATAATGTCAGGATAATTTACACAGTCGAAACTTCATTACATAATTATAAATAAGGAGATAATTTCAACGATTTCGATATTCTGCCTTTGAAAACTTTTCCTTGTGTTTAGGTAGGTATATCTGTCGATAACCGACTGAATATGGCACTTTTTACTCATTTAGGTTGGCATTAAATTCATATATAATGCCATTTAAATATCGTGGAAAGCAGAATATATTCGAAATCACGAATGAGCAAAATTCTCACCTTTCGCACGTGCAAACTTTGAGCGGACGTTGCGTGCGCATACAATATTGAATCACCGTAAATTTTTGCATAGTGGTATTTAATATATAGTTTGATAAGCATGCAAAGTTTCAGAAGATTTCAAAAAGAACTTGGATCACAACGGGACTCCAAAGTTGATAAAAATCGTGAAAATAACAATTTTTAGTGATTTTAGCTATTTTAAATCAATTTGGGCGTGTCCCCACGTGTGCAACTTTTCGATTTTCAACTTTAAAACTAGCCTATAACACAATTTAGACCTTTAAGAAGCAAAATTGAGCTCCACAACCCAAGGGATGGCCCAACACCAGAGAATACTAATTCACAACTTTTGTGTTTTTATAAAATTATTCTTCAAAAAAGCACTAACTTCAATAGCAAATATCTTTATGAAGGAGCAAGGTAGGAAACTTTTCCGGTAGATTTTCGGAATGCTTGAACAATTATCTAAGGTGAAAATGTCCTCAGATTTTGAATAAAATTACTCCTTAATGGTGTAAAATCGATTTGAAAAGTTGTTACTTTGTCAAAAATTAAGTTTTAAAAACACTTAATTTGATGACGTCATCAAGTGATGATGATGACGTTAAATTATTTTTCAATACAATGTAAACTAAAGCTTAAACGATTATCTTTAAAACCTGTGGTTCGAGATGACTGTATCGTTTATACTTTTGGATCTACGGACACTTAAATGTAGGCTACAATTGACTGCCAAAAGCGTCTATACATACATATATACATATATACATATATATACTTCACGACAATCTGTTGTAAAACAGAGGTTCCAGAAAACCCACTTGCCGATACTGCTGAAACATGAAATTTTGATTACAATCGATTTGGACAAGGTCTAGACGCCCTGCAAAGTTTCAGATCTCTTACTCAATTTTAACATGGTTTTTAAGGCACCTCAATATGGCGATTTTGGGTTTTTTACCTAATTTCGTATAACATGCTGGCGCGTATTTTGCGCAAATTTCTTAAAAACCTTCATATAACTATTTCTTATTCCTGTCATCTTTAACATTGAATTAGAATGTTTTGAACTTAAATATACCTGCTGAACTACTTTCGATGAGTCTTAATGCCT